TTGCCAGGACTCGGTACCAGCTTCCTCCATGCTGTTTTATTTGAACAGTGTTGACATTTTAACAAACTCCGAAGCGTCCTGCTCTCGTGTTCCTCAGAAGTTTTCAGTAATCCTTTTACAGTGCAGTATCTGTTTGAACGCGAGACATCATGTTCCAGCGCGTTGCATTTAATGGCCAGTTGCATTCTTGGGTTTCGCGACCTCTCAATCCTCATTTTTCAATTTCTGGAGGAGAGTCAACTATTTTCCGAAAACTTTGCAGCTTCTGTACTTCGTGCAAACGGTTAAAGTTAAAGCCACTCTTGCAGCTCGTAGAAACAGAATAAAGAATTCAGTGTCTCAGTTGCTTTTTTGAGCAAATAAACGTCGTTTGATCGGGGAGTTCCTCTGCCTGGTAAAGCTCGGCATCGTGAATCAAGGGAAATGAGCTTTAAAATAACTTTTGAAACAGTTCTTGCGTTGGAACCCGTGCCAAGTATTTTTTTCTGAACCAAATGACAGGAAAAATATGTGGAAACGCAAGAAAGATACAAACAAGATACTTTTTCTGCTTCATCTCAAGAGGTTTCGTTTCTGCCCTTCGGTTAAAGCGGTCGTGCTGAAGTTCCTTTTAAGAAAATCCTCATGAGCGTTATCTCTGCTTCCCTAAAGGAACTTGGTACTTGGGGGATGATGGGAATAGTAGTCCAAGATAGGTGGAGGCGGTCTTAGATGAAAGGCAGAGCAAGCAAAATTCACCACCACTACAACCATTGTCACTATAGCCATTGTCTATTCGTTGTCAATTTGGGCCCACAATACTTGTTGATGTCGTAGATCCATCTTGTTTTAGATCTGTTTCATGGGTGCTTTTGATCAAATGGGATCCATTCTGTAACTGCCTTGGTCCACCTACCATTAGTTCTTCTTGCTATGCATCCAGCCCATTTCCATTTCCCTTCTTTTACTCTCTTGATAACATCGTATATTTTTCATTTGTTCTCTAATCCATGTGCAGCTCTTTCTATCTTGTAATGCCAAGAATGTATCTTCCCATGGCTCTTTGTGCCACTCGTAGGTTCTGTATCGGTTGTGAGGTTAGTGTCCCAAGTTTCACTGGCGTACGTTAGAGCAGAAATGAAAGCAAAATTACCTTCATGTAAAGTGTAGTTTTGAGAGACCAAAATTACACTTATATAGAACATGCTGGCAGCTTGATTAAGAATTGGGGAATCTACTTTTTATAGAACTTGATTTTGGAGAAGGGGAGCTTAGTTGGTACAGCTTGTTCTAATCGTCATATCTTGGGAAATGTCTGCTGTTTTGCTTTTTTCGTACAGCTTTCGGCTCTGCCTTTAAAGACAAAAAAAGAGTTTCCAGTACCGAAGGTCAAACAACATTTTATTATAAAGTTATAAAGACTTTCCCTCTCTGGGAAAATGTATACATTTTATTGCAAATCTTGCAAATGTTAAAACCTGCATGAAAAGTTGGGGGTGGGACATTTTTAAAAAATGCAGTGAGAAGGTAATTTGGGGAGCAGAAGAGCATGGAGAGAAGAATTCCATTATCCATGCAGAAAAATAGGCATGTTACTTCATTTCCTCCTGTTAAAACTCTTAAATATTCAATATTTGAGGATTATTCTCCTTTCTTGAGGAAAAGAAACTTCAACAGATTAGTTCTGTTATTCTCCATCAGCCAAAACATTATGCAGATTTCATCCTGAAATCCTTCATCCTCTGCTAGGAAGGAGCAGAAACTGAAAAAAAGGAGGAAAACAAAGATAAAGGTGCATTCTTAGGGTTAGTGGGTGTTGGCATGCAATAGTTGGATTTACTCAATTCTTAATTCAGCTAAAATTTCCCCTTAAAAATATATCTCAACCAGGGAGAGAACAATCCTCCTCTTTAGCCTTAAAATGAGAAAACAAGAAAACCCTAGAACAACTAGACAAAAGAACATTTTTTTCCCCTGAACGCTATCACTCTGCTAAACAAATAATTCCCTCAACACTGTCAAACCATTCACTAAGTCTGCATTACTATTACTATTAATCTTCTCATTGTTCCTATCACCCGTCTCCTCCCATTTATGACTGCAGGACTGTAAGTTTGTTGCTTGTATCCTTACGATTTATATTGATTGCTTCCTAGCATGATTTGATTGTTTACTTGTACCCTATGACTATCATTAAGTGTTGTACCTTATGATTCGTGACGAATGTATCTTTCCTTTTATGTACACTGAGAGCATCTGCACCAAAGACAGATTCCTTGTGTTTCCAATCACACTTGGCCAATGAAGAATTCTATTCTANTCAACTCCCAGAGTTCCTCAGCCAGCAAAGCTGGCTGAGGAACTCTGAGAGTTGAAGTCCACAGGTCTTAAAGTTGCCAAGGTTGGAGACCACTGTATTAGGGCATTCCAATTTATTTATTTATTTATTCAGTAAATGTTTATGGCTGCCCATCTCGTATACATGACCCTGAGCAGCTAACAATTAAAAGCAAATGGAAACAGAACAAAATATAACCAGCGTTTAAAAGCATAACTCCTGCAATATATAATACATGATACAATACATCCTCTTTTTCTGTGCATATACTAATTGTACCATTAGCAGTGGTGGGTTTCTACCGGTTTGGACCGGTTCAGCCGGACCGGTAGTGGTTTGGCAGCCTGGGTCGCTGGAACTAGCAGCAACCTAGGCCTGCCACACCCGCAAACCAGTTCTCCGGGCGGCGCCATAGATACCACCATCTTGTTTTTTGCTTCTGCACATGCATAGAACAATTTTTATTGCACTGCGCATGCGCGCAGCATGCGCGCACGACTGAACCAGCAGTAGTGCCTGCCGGAAGCCACCCCTGACCATAAGTGTATCAAAGCCACACCTATAACGCTAAAGTGATGGGGTTTGTGGTACAATGCTCTTTCAGCCTTCAGAAAGCAACGAGAGTTCTTAGGCAACAAGGCCTTTTTTGCTCTTATTAAGAGGATCTTAGATAAATATATGGCTATATTTATACGCTGTAGGGCAGTGCGTGTGACAACAAATAGACACAAGGACAGTTTTTTCCCCCCAGGCCATCACTCTGCTAATTCCCACAACATTGTCAAACTATCTAAAAAGGCAGTATTACCATCATTATTTTCATCCTCCCTATTCTTTATCTTCTTATCTCCTTATGACTATAACTTTGTTACTTATCACTATTGTTGTATGTACATTGAGAGCTTACGCACTGGAAACACTAAGTGTTGTATCTTATGGTTCTCGATGAATGTATTTTATTTTCCTTATGTACACTGAGAGCATAGGCACCAAAGACAAATTCCTTGTGTGTCCAATCACACTTGGCCAATGAAGAATTCTATTCTATTCTATTCTATTCTATTCTATTCTATTCTATTCTATTCTATTCTAT